CCAAATGGGCAACCAAAACCGGCGCACGAAAGTGCATGGTTAATGGTTGTAAAACTGAAAGTGAAACTATAGTACTGAAATCCCGAATTCCCGTCTCTGATACGCAGCAAACTTCGATCCGAAAAGAGTCCTTTGTACGCGCCCATAGGTTTGCCGATATATCTGCATCAGTCCTCATATTGGAGGCGTCCAGATTCGGTAACTGACGTTTCTTCAAAGTCTGCAATTTATTTGGTGGTAGACTACTCGTGCTATTTGGCAAGGAGCTTTGGTGAGTGACAAACAACTTGTCTGATGAAAGTTTCATTGGTTGGAGAAAAAGGAATGGGAAAGGGTTGGGAATGGATGGCAAAGAATCAAATAAGCGTTCGGATTTCGGAGCAGTAGCCCATTTGTCAATAGCCACCCGCTCGATGCGATGTATATTGCGGTCTTGATTATTCTGCGCAGCGACCGATGCAGTATAAAGTTTGATGGAATTGTAATACTAAGGTGTCCCATCATTGAACATTGAACATTTCATCACTGTTGGGTTCTAAACAGGAGGTGCTCCTTTTGATTGTACCTCTGGGCCGAAAATAGCACTTTCTGCTTTTAACGCTATTGTGGACGATCTCCTGAACACAGAAATACACCTCATCGAGTTTGGAACAATATATTCGTGGCATTGGTTTAACAGGCCCCACTGATATAAAATCTGGTGTTTAATTTCTGTTTTCCAGTACCATGAAAAATTTTGAGTTGACATTCGCTGAAGTCACAAAAGAGGCAGTGGATTATATTGCCGATCACTTCCATCCATTCAACGGAATCGAGACGATTGTGACACATGGTGGATTTGATCCCAGCGATTTGGAGGATTTGGGTCGCCCGGTTGCACCACCGATTTCTCTGGCTACTACATTTCAACAGTTAACACCTGGTGTTGCTAAGGTAGGAGAGATTGTATTTTCTGCTCATCATGACTCAATTTAGTACGACTATTCCCGAGCCGGAAATTTCTCGCGTGAATGTTTGGAAAGGTGCATTGCAAAGTTAGAAAACGGTGAACATTGTTCCGTCTTCAGTTCTGGACTAGCTGCATTGGGTGCTCTGGTGCAACTGCTTTCCGCGGGTGATCATATTGTTGCTTTTGACGATCTTTATGGTGGTGAGTGGTAATTCTTTCCTTGCTTATCGTCCGTTTGCTTGAAATTACGTATTTCTACCTCACTTGGTGACGTTTATATTATACAACAAGTACTATATAAGGGACGACAAAGCTTCCGTGGAATTGTGATACCAACTTCAAATGTTGTCGCTCATCATTGATGCGTATCTGATGATTTGAGAATTAACTCCTATGCTTTTTATCCTGCACTGTGGCTATCCTTATTTTTATAAATCACATGGTCGGAAGTGCATATCTATTTGGGATTCAAACAGATCTACTGACACAACAAAGTCAACGTTTTATTATGGGCCATTTAACAAAGCTAAAGCTTATCATGCCCCATAGGAATTTTACAGAATAATTTGAATAACTTTACAAATAGAAAATAGTAATGATGACAATTTGCTTGATCGCTCACGGATGTCGAAATTCTAAGTGTTCCAACGTAACCAAAAGCAATAATTTGAGATGCATACTGAAGAATGGAAATGAAGAGGTTTCAAAACGGTATAACAAAGGTAACGGACACTCGAGATACGTACTAACTTTTACTTCGCTGCTTTCGTTTCTGGTCAATGACATTGACCAACCATTATAATGCAATAGCGTATTTGTCATGTATCCATTGGTGCTCGAAAGATACTGGTCCTCTCGTTTATGCGCAAAACTTCTGACGAAAGCAATGTTCATATTCAGCTTGTCCTATGAAAGCTAACATTTCTATTGTAGAACGTAAAACCTACCGTCCATGCTTCGTATATCCATTTCCATCTAACCGATAAAATTGTCAATTTACTAGTATAAGGATAATTACTTGAATTTTCTTTCCGATTAAGCAGAGACGATATGACTGTTCTTGTAGGCGAAAACTTTGATCAGTTGCTGGATTTTTATATCACCTGTCTTCTCAATAGTCAGTGGTGTTTCTCTTGGCTGTCCTACACGAATGGGCCATTAATGTTACCTTGCTTGGGTTTATTCTCATAACCCTAGGGTGTAGATGATATTAGTATGTGATCGGAATTGTCTTGTGCTGTTAAAGCTGAACAATTCAAATTTGATGACTGTTGTAACGTTCGGACCGGACTGGCTTGAACTGGGAACCCAATCAGCATGCGATAGGACAGACCTATAACGGAAACCATAACGACCCAGTGACCGAGTGATTACAGTACGCATAAGCCTAGACTGAGGTACCCAGCGCAGTTTCCAACAGAGCCAGAAGAACGCTCCGCGAGAGTAGTAAGATCCCAGAACCCAACCAGGGAGAAGACGGAAGACGCCTTCAGGTGAGTATGCTTATTTCGCTCAACCCGAAAGACGATGGCTGTCAACAATTCATCTGTTTATGTACAGTTTTTGGCCCGGCCAGCAATGACCTTGGGAATTAACTTAATAGTACAGAGTTCTGAAAGAATGGGCCAAGGAGGATCAACCATGGCCAGTGGTTTGGGATGATGTTTTTGCGGAGCGAAGATTCGAAAATTCAAGTTTGATAAAAATAACTAGAAAAATAGAGAAAAGAAAAGGAAAACAGTCCCAGCAATGGCGAGTTTTGTCGCCAAATAGATGGGGTCACAATGAAATCTTTTTGCACCTTTCACAGATATCTTCGTGGCTGTACTGGAGATTAACATCCTCAAAAGAAAAATTGATCGTTGCGCATTATAAAAGCGATATGTTGATGTCATTTTGTGGTTCGTCGATGACATTGAAGCTGTCAGAACTTAAAAGTATTATGCGCGGTCCACCCAAACGTAAAGTTTAACCTATACCTTTCCCCATCAAGCTTCAGCCAGAACCGGTAGTCCATTTAGCCTCGACGCACATGTTGACTGGACGAGGTTTAGCCAATGTGATCGTATCGTCAAACCGTTTGGCCCATCTCGTACAGTTTCAGTGTTTCCGTATAATAAACGATACTCCTGTGAGTAAAAATCGCAAGTGTAACACAAACGGTAAGGGGGACACAATTGCTGAGAGTGGTGACACTGAATACAGTTGTGGGAGCCTGAACGAACCACCCGCGTGGCAGATTCTGGAGACCTGTCACGCAAGGCCTTTGAATTTCCATTAGTTGTTTTGTTCGCTGGTGCGTTGATTATCGGTCCGCCTTTCGGGATCAGCCCTCAGCCTCATGCACCCAATGAGACAAGCGGAACGTGGACGGGACAGCACCTTATTGGCTGGGGTCTGCCCAGCTTGGGCGGGCGGTAGCTGTCCAATGAAGCGCGAAGACTTCTCCCACCGTCGAGAGGCAGCTTCAGGTACCCCGCTCCTACGTCCATTGTATATATATATATTTACCACCGGCTTGAAAACAAGCATGGTGCCAACGCAACAACAATGACAGTGAAGGGGATAGGTGGATTAGGATACAGAACATGGGGAAAAGTGAGTGAGACAGCTAAACATGGAAAATACAAGATAACAGAATTTTTTGTGTTTCACCGTACACCTTTTGCAATTTTTTTTGTCCATTGGGGGGTTTTTGAACGGTAAACTGCCCCTCACCGTGTTTATTTGCTGGAGTGGCCTCTCCAGGGGCGAGTGTGGATAGAAGAAAGAAGCCAGGGGGTGCCCAAGCAGCTGGCCTTGTGAGACTGGTCTTCATCTGGCCTCTAACCGTTGACCTTTCAGGCATGATTGGATCTCCGGCTGTGAAAAGCCATCCTGTATAGCCCGCAGGATCATTGAGGCACGCAAGCCATCACACCACGTCAAGGTGCATTCTCGTCGTGATGGACATAGTTGGATAGTGGGTGGTTAGGATTATTAGCCGTTCGATCCTTTCACACCTAGTAGACTCAAACCACGTGGTTGATGTGTCCGAAACGGTTCGACCGCTCTAGTTAGTCCCCAACCATAAATCTAAGGAGATTAGGAATCGCATTTTGGCCACGGCGGAAGCGATCGGAATCCGGCTACATAACCCCCTCCTCCCCCTATGATCCCAAAAATGATTCGTGAAAGTACTCCGTATTTCATTGCTAACAACACACGACACAGTCATCCCCCCTATCATCACGACGAGACTGCATCTTGACTTGGTGTGATGGCTTGTGCACCTCTCTGACCCAACTAGCTACACAGGATAGCTTTTGTCAAGCCGAAGATCTAATCGTGCCTGGGAAGTCGAAGGCTAGAGATCGGACGAAGTCCAATCTCCTGGTTTTCCAGGTTTTGCCTCTCAGTCGGTAAAAAATAGTGGAGGAGTAATCGATCCAAGTAAATAGGCCTCCGCTTCGCTTAACCCGCTACCTTACGGCTAGGTTCTTGTCAGAACTAAAGGCCTTGGTTGAGAACCCTAATCGTTCTGCTTAGTGGCGGGTTACCCTGGCAGTACCCGTCCATCAAATCCCATTGCATGTGCATTGCGAGTTTGGCAGCGATCAATGAAGTTCGCTGCTCCGTATTTCGCTGTACGATGATGATGATGATAACCGTAACCAATGTGCTTGTATGACGACCAAAGTAGGAGCAATATCCAATCGTGAATTGTTGATTATTTCTTTTATCATTTTATTATGACCCCCCCACTAAACAGTTTAACATAAATTGTGGACTATTAGCCTGTAGATGAATCACCGCAATCGAGCTGGATCGCTACCTTATGTTTTCTTGTAATATGTAATGATGGTATATTCGGACAATAAACAATTTCTCGAAAGTATGTTTGTGCAGACAATAATTGAGCGACCCCGGGGCTGCTAACTATGCACTCACATTCCTATGTAATAAGTGAATGCTTCAAACACTGCAAGAAATCCTGCTTCTCGCACGTAACGCCAGCACCCAGAGAGCTTTTTGGTTCTATTAACCATCTAATATCGAACCACGTTTTCTTGGTCATTATCTTCTTTATGTATTCTGGATGTAAATGAAGCATTTGAATCGAGCATTTCCTCAGTAGTCGATATGTAGTTGAATAACATCTATAACATATCAGTGTGATGAAGATTTCGAAACCATCACTTACTGATGTGACAGTTTCATGTAAATGGCACCGTAACTCGCTAGGTCTTTCTATATAGTGAGTCGATTTTCGGTACTTCATATTCTTCTTCCTCTAGTCGATTGGACGTTAGAAAAATCGTTGACACTAATAGCCCAGTAGCCCGAAGGCTTGTATTTACAGTTGCTATTCTTGAAATAGCAGGTGGTTCTTCATGGCTGTACCGTGACCTCACAGTGCGCGACGTTACAGTATGCATTAAAGTGCCATATATAGACGATTGGGTGAGGTATGGTAACGAAATTCGAGTATACAATCAGCTGAACGACGCGCTGTTGAAATCTAATTGATATGGTGTTTTCTTCGTAAGCATCCCTGTATAGATTTGTGGGTTTGAGATCTGTAGTCACTCAGTTATTATTGCTTTCATACGTTGAATGTGCCTGGGAGACCACCAGCATTGTTGTCCTCACTGAATCTCGACAGGGCCAGTACCTTCGCTTGCCACCAGTTGGCCAATAAGCTTGCTCAAATATTGTTTAGCATTTACGAAACCAACCAACCAAATCGACCTTAAACCAAGAATCTCAACTCTGTTATGGTCTCTTATCCGGAAAAATCTCCGTTATTAACATTATAGTTTACTCACTTCCACACCACCGTGTAAGTTATCTTTTACCTCTATATCAATTAATCTCTGGAACGGGTCAAACCGAGTGTCTAAACATTTATCATAGGGTGTTTCAGATACCCACGGAGACCCACTCCTGCAAAGGCTACTTCTCCGTACTGCAAAAGCGCTAAATAATCGGCCCAAGTGCTCAAAACTGATCCACTAACAGCTTGGGAAAATCTAAAGTAAGGAAATTGTTTGAGTTTTTTGAAGTCATTAGGAAACAACATACTGGTTGTTATCATCTGTTCTTCCTTAATGTCATACCACTCTACTTATGCATCAGCTATTAAAATACTCAGCTTTGGTTGACTAAACTATGTGACACTATTTTGGGAAACCCTGTATGTGCATTGTAAATCATAGAATGACTTATATAA